CAACTCTTCCATCCTCACATTTTTTACATAACGTAAGATCCCAATTTCTTCTAAGCGGAGGACTTTAAATTTGTTTCTTAGCTTATGCTAAACTTCTTCATTCTGATGCCCTATTACCTCTAACAGTTTCATAAGTCAAACATTCATTAGATAGCTCTTCGATAAGGCTTTCGAAAGTTATGTACGATTCATGCCATTTGAAAGGATCAGTTGTTCGCGAGGCCGAGACCAGATGGCGCCAAATAGTCTTCAACCCAGCCTCTCCTTTGCTGGAAACTCAGTTATGGGCCAGTTCGTTGTATCGAAGTATTCACAACCAAACTTGGATGATTTTTTTTTAAAAAAAGGCACAACATTACAACGGATATTGCATTTTCCTCTCTGCATTTCCTCATATCCATCTACCTAGGTTCTTGTCAAATGTCAGGAAAAGTTACAACAAACCTATAAAGGAATGTTCTTATACCAATGTACTGCTCTACGAATTTCACTTTATATTTAGTTTTTGGGAGTCGTAACAACCGTCTCTTCTTCCTAACTATCAGTGCTGCTTTCAGGGCAGGTATGTACGAATGCCACCCGTGTTTTCGTTCAACGAGGTATACTCGAAGCATTCACGGCTGAGCTGTTGAAGGTGAGCACGTGATTTTTCGATAGTGTGGCATTTCCGAACTCTGACTCTCTGTCATAAATGAGTAGCACCTTGCTTGCTTCTATTGTTGAAACGCGCAAAAGATTTTCAGGAATGCGACGAAAAACTCAAGGTTGGCGATCCGCTGAATGAGGATACTAGGGTTGGCGCTAACATTAATGAGGGCCATTTGAACAAGATTCTTGGCTTCATCGAAAGTGCTAAACAAGAGGTATGCCCCATTTCAGGATGAAGCATTATGAAAACTAGCTTAATGAAAAAGTGAGGTCTTGGAAATCCCAAAGGATGCTTTTAAAATCTGGCGATTTCTCTAGCACATAGGGTTTCTATTATACTTTGATATTTTATGTGAAAATATGTAGGCTTACACAGGGTCGTACAAGAACAGCTTTAAATTTACTATCAACGAGAATCCGAGGTAATGCTCTATTGAGCTTAAATAATTTATGATACGATGTAGCTAATCTTAAATTCAAGTAGCTAGGCCTTTAGCTGATTT